ATTAAAAAGATCGTACACCAAAATTAAGTGGCATTTATTCCAGAGATGCAAGTTTGGTAAAATACCACAAATCAATAAGTGTGATTCACTACATAAACAAACTGAAGGATACAGACCACATGATCATATCAATAGATGCAGGAAAACATTTGATAAAATCCAGCACCCATTTATGATAACCACTCTCAGGAAAGTGGGAGTACAAGAGACATACCTTAATGTAGCAAAGTCCATATATGACAAACCCACAGCCAACATCATACCACTGGGCAAAAATCATAAGTGTTTCACTTAAAATCAGGAACAAGCCTGGAACAAGCTTTCACCACTATTATTCAATGTAGTACTGGAAGTCCTGGCCATAGCAATCAGACAACAGGAAGAGGTAAAATGCATTTAAATAACTCATTATTTGCAGAAGATATAATACTAAAGACAGAAAACCCTAAAGACTCTACTAAAAAACTACTGGAATGAACAAATGAATTTCATAAAGTAGTAGGATACAAAATTAATATCCAGAAATCAGTTGCATTTTTATTTACCAATAATGAACTATCAGAAAAGGAAACTAAGAAAACAATCCCACTTAAAACTGTATTAAAAATACCTAGGAATAAATTTAACCAAGAATTTAAAACACCTATGCTTGAAAAATTGTAAGACATTGAAGAAGATACAAATAAGTGGAAGCACATACCATGTTCATGGATAGGAAGAATTAACATCATTAAAATGTATATACTACCCAAAGCAATCTATAGATTCAACTCAATTCCTATCAAGACACCAATGGCATATTTCACAGAACTAGAACAAATGTTCCAAAAATTGATATGGAACTACAAAAAAAATAACCCTGAAGAGCCACAGAAATCTTGAGAAAGAAAAACAAAGTTGGAGGAATCATGCTACCTTATATTAAAATATACTACAAGGCCATAGTAATCAAAACAGCATGGCACTGGCATAAAAACAGACATATAGATCAGTGAAACAGAATAGAGAGCCAAGAAATAAACCCCCACCTTTATGATCAACCAACATTTGATAAAGGAGGCAAAAACATACAATGGGGTAAAGATAGTCTATTCAATAAATTGTGTTGGGAAAATTGGACAGATACTTGCAAAAGAATAAAACTAGACCACCTTCTTACACCGCACACAAGAATAAACTAAAAATGTGTTAAAGGCTTCCTTAAATGTTAGACTCAAAACTATAAAAGTTGCAGAAGGAGCCCTGGCTGGTTTGACTCAGTGGATTGAGCGCCAGCCTGTGAACCAAAGGGTCGCCAGTTCAATTCCCAGTCAGGGCACGTGCCTGGGTTGTAGGCCAGGTCCCCAGAGAGGGTGCATGAGAGGCAACCACACATTGATGTTTCCCTCTTTTTCTCCCTCCCTCCCTCTCTCTCTAAAAATAAATAAAATCTTTTTTAAAAGTTGTAGAAGGAAACATAGACAGTAAAATCTCAGGTACTTCTTGTAGCAATATGTTTTTCTGATATCTCCTCGGGCAAGGGAAACAAGAACAAATAAGGAAATGGGACTACATCAAACTAAAAAGCTGTTGCACAGTGAAGGAAATAATCCACAAAATGGAAAGACAACCCACTGAATGGGAGAATGTATTCATCAATGACACATCTAGTAAGAGTAAAATATTCAAACTTTATAAAGAACTTATACAACTCACCATCCAAAACATAATCCAATTAAAAATAGACATAGCAAAATAGACACTTCTTTAAAGAGGACATACAGATGGTCAATAGACATATGAAAAGATTCTCAATATCACTAATCATCAGAGAAGTTTACACTGGAACCATAATAACATACTGCCTCATACCTCTCAGAATAACTATCATTAGTAAATCAGCAAACAAATGTTGGCAAGAATATGGAGAAAGGGGCACCTTCATGCACGTTTGGTGGGAATAAAGATTGATATAGCCACTGTGGAAAGCAGTATGGAGTTACCTCAAAAAATAAAAAATGAAACTGCCTTATGACACAGCAATTCTACTTCTAGGAACACATCTGAAGAAACTCAAAAACACTGACTTGAAAGACTATATGCTCCCCTATGTTCATTGAGGCACTATTTATAATCGTCAAGATCTGGAAGCAACCCAAGTGTCAATCATTAGATGAGTGGATAAAAAAGTTGTGGTACATTTACACAACGGAATGCTACTTGGCTGTAAAAAAAAAGGAATTATCATGTTTTGCAACAGCATGGATGGACCTGGAGAAAATTATGCTAAGTGAAATAAGCCAGTCAGAGAAAGGCAAGTACCATATGATTTCACTTATATGTGGAATCTAATGAAGAAAAACTAACAAACAAAACAGAAACACTCATAAATACAAAGAACAGACTGACAGCTGTCAGAGGGAAGGGTGGATTGAGGGTATAGGTGAAAAAGGTAAAAGGATTAAGCAAAACCAAAAAAAAACCCCAAACTCACAGACGCAGACAACAACATGGTGATTACCAGAGGGAATGGCTAGGGGGTGTGGGGAGGTAGAAGACAGTAAAGAAGGGACAAATGACTTAAGGTGGTGAACACAAAATATAATATATAGATGATGTATATAGAATCGTACATCTGAACCCTATGTAATTTTATTAACCAATGTTACCCCAATAAGTTCAATAAAAAATAAAATAAGGAATAAAATGTCATTGATTCTATATAACAATAATAAAAGTAATGATTAATTTAGGAGATATACGGTTCTGGATAAGACACTGAACAAAGATAGTATGAAAGGCAGGAAGAGTGATAGGGTAATAACAATACAATGATTCTGAGTTTGTTCTGGAGAAGAATAGGTATATTAATTTAACACCAGACTAGTTAAGTATGTAAGTTAAAAAAAAAAGAATAGAATGTTAAAGGACCTTATCTAAGAAAAAGAAGATAAAAATATGAACAATAAAATAATAAACTCACAACTATCAACAAATGAACCTAAAAGAAAAAAAAAACAACAAAAACAAAAACTAAGCAAACAACCAGAACAAGAACAGAATCAGAAAAATGGACATCACGTGGAGGGATTTCATTGAGGAGGGGGAAGGAAGGAATAGGAGGGAAAAGGTACAGAGAAGAAGCAGCATAATTAGTAGGCATAAAATAGATGAGGAGAGATAAAAATGGTATAGGAAACAGAGGACTCAAAGAACTTATATGTACAACCCATGGACGTGAACTAAGGAGGGGAATGCTGGAGGGTTGGGGGACAGCATGGAGGGAGAATAAAGGGGGAAAAATTGGGAAAACTGTAATAGTGTAATCAATAAAAATACTTTAAAAAAATAGACAAATATATATTTCCGAATCAGTACAGGGAAAAAGTAACAACATTCTATGAGTTCGATAGCAGATATAAAAGGAAGATGCATAAAAAAGGATGACAAGGAAGGACAGATTTAGATGGTAAAAATAAATCCAAATATATGACTATCACAATAAACAGAAGTAGCTTAAAGTTGGAATCCGCCCGTAAGCAACAACAAACCGAAGCATTCCAGAGGATATAAGATGGGGGAATATTTCCCAACTCATTTTATAAGGTTGGTGAAATCTTGATAACATATATATATATGGGTTCAATGGTAGACAGAAAACCTTAAAGCCAGTCTCACTTCATGCAGGTGAATGTTAAATCCTAAACAGAGCGCTACCAAATCAAATAAAGTAATTTATAAAGAACACAGTATGACTTGTTAGGTTAATCCTAGGAATAAAAGGACAGTGCAACATTAGAATATGTTAATTATTTAACCTCCTTAAAGTATGAACAGAGGGAATATTTTTCTGCATCAATCTTTTTCATTGATGCATAAAAAGATTTAATAAAATTATCCCTTTATGATAAAAATTCTTTGCAATAGGAATAGGAATAGGAGGGAATTTCCTACCTATCTTCCCCTCCCTATCTACCAAAAATTAGATATTATTTTTAATGCTAAAAATGTTAGAAGCACTCCCTCTAAATTCAGGGGAAAAGACAAGGCACCCTCTCTCCCAGGAAGCTAACTCTGAACCCTACACCTCCAACTGTAGCACTTAAATGTCTTCCGACCAATTCATGTAAAAGACTGTCTCCCTACTTTGAAAGTGAGATCCTTGAAGGTGCCCATGCACCATACTGCTTTTGTATCTTCTGTAGCATTTTAGCACTATATTCAACATACATCAGTTGTGTAAGAAACACATTTGATTGAGTGACATCACGAAATGTCCTCTGAAGTGATTTTTAATATAACTTTTTTTTTCTGATTGTAAAAGTAACATATCTACACTGTAGGGAACTTAAACAATTCAGAAAGTACAAAGAGGTTGAAAATACCCTCGAACTTTCTTGCCAGAGATCACCACTATTGACATTTTGGTGCATTTTTGTTCTTCTGCCCACATTTTAATACAGTGGAGCACAAATTCCTTAGGTGTAATTTTGTACCTTGCTATTTTCTTTTTATAGAAGCATTTCCTCATAACCATAATAATGGTTACATGGTGTTAAATATCACAACTTACCTAGGTGTTTCCTTATTGTTAGATTACTGTGGTCATTTCTATAAATGATACGTTTGTGCATATATATTTTTCTGTATTTTAGATTATTTTCTTAGGACAGGCCGTTACGTAATTTGTTTCCTCCAAACATTACTGTAACCCTCAAAATATAGTGGTCTTTTCTGACTGGGTCTCTCACCCTTCTTTGCTTCTCCCTCCACCCCCACTCTGGTTTAACTAGAGTGGGAAAAAGTAGAGGAGACAGGGGAAAAGAAAAGAAATACATAAAAGTGGACTATTTTAGGCAGAAATCAGAGCCAAGGACGTGGTTAGTTGAATTTTTCCCTTCACCTGATATCCTGGGACCCCCATCCCCCACCCCCACCAACTTCCCACTTTGCCTCCCCGCTGTCTCCACCATTTTCTCATTTCTCCCCCAGAAGACAGCTTGAGAAAAAAGAATTCTTACCATAATATTTCCAAGTTCTTATATTTTGTCTCTGTATAAGTCTGTCTGCGTTGCTTCTTACTTCCAGCTGCTCGGTCAACATTCACGTTAGAAAGAGACTGAGAGCCTGTGTGACTCAGGGGCACTTGTCTCTCGGGAAGGCCATGAAGGTAGTTCAAGTCCACGTGGGAAAGAGTGTTGGTGTGTAGCCGCTGGTATGAAACTCTTTTCTCTTCTTGGTTTTTGCGTCTTCTTTCTTTCCCAAAATTCGTCACTGAGTGATATCCAATAGAGTGTTTATATGATATCTTGTCAGAAGTCTGCTGTGCTGGAGCAGATTTATTGGAGGCCACTTTGGGCTCCTGGCTTCCAAGTGCACTTGAGTGGTGTAAGTCATAGTTAGGGGCATTCATGATCACAATTGTTTCATGCTCTGCTGAAGCATCGACAAGCTTATTTTGACTTTGTTGCTGTCCGGGGGTGTTTTTCTGGTGTCCCTGACTGACGACCAGCTCTTCAGTTACCAGAGACTTCAGGCCACGGTTGCGTTTCCGCTGTTTGCGGCTGTGGTGTGTGGCTGGTCTTCTGGGAGGTTGCTGCCCGCCGGTTGTTTCGGGAGACTGACCTGTTGGTGCGGTACTTGGACTTGCACTTTCATATTGAGACCAGTGCTCCTGAGGTAATCCCAAAAAGATATTTTTGGTTAATGTAAAGCTAAAAGGTTGGTACACTTCCCAAATTTTAAATTAGTGTTTTTTTACACTGGGAGTCTTGACTTCTAGGAAGGTGAGCAGGGAATTGAAAGGAGATAAAGACTCTAGAGGATTTTTTCCCAATTCAGTCAAACAGGATAAGATAGCACAGCAACTACTGCTGGAAATTTTAGATTATGAATTTTCCAGAAAGAAATAGGAGTTTACCATGGGCTTTATTTCAAGGACATGCCTTTGACCTAAAATGTCATAAAATTAAGTGTTACCACGTTGGGCAGGTGAGCAACAAGAGAAGCTTTCTCTCTGAAGAGCTGTAATAATACAAGTGTATTTTAATTAATATGAAAATCTTAAAATATTAAGCAGAAAGAACACCAATGATAAGCATTGCTAATCAAGTACAAGTTTAGTATGAGATATAGTTCCTTTATCAGATCTCTTCCCTCATATAGTGCAGAAGCTAGAAATGACCTCTACACCAGATGAAACAAATCAGATTTTATTCAGAGAATTATAAGAGAGTCTGCACTGTGATAGGATGTCTGTGAATCCACAGGAGCGGTTTTGCTTCTGTCCCTTAATACAGCTTATTTAGGCAATCAAACATTGGGGGAAATATTTCAATTTCACACAGTCTTTATGCTTTTCATAGTCTTATAACAACAAAATGTACTCCTGAAATAATAGATACTTTATGTAACTATATTGTGCTAAGTCATTTAGAAACATTGTCCAAGAATAAAGCACTCATTACTTTGTGAAGAACGAGCTGAGTGAAGAGGCCTTTGGAAAGAATGATAAAATGCTTACTTAAAGCAGTAAGATGCCCGTATGCAACTGCATGTTGTGCACCTGCAACACATTTCTTCCTTCCTGAACACACACGTACAAGATCTCTGTGGTCTGTATTCATGAACGTTAATCAAAATATGCAAGTTGCCTGGATCATTTGAGAAAAAAGCTTAAAGTAAATAAGTCATGTTTCTGTTTACACCATTTGTTTTAGCTTGCTATAAAGAATGATAGAAGTACTGCGATGAGGTCAACTCTTATTTCACTTTTCTGATACAATCGCTAAGACTCATCCTATTCCTGCATGATATTAAGTGGTATTCTATTTTGAATGAAATCTCATTATAATGATAAGGTTGAGACTACTTAAAACAGTAATAAACAATATTACTTCTTACATTGGATCTCTAAGTCAGAATGGTTTATAATTTGAAATTTAGAGTATGTTCTCCTTAGGATTTGTGCTTTCTAGATGACTGGCCAAATTCTGATCAGCTCCTCTAAACTTTAACTTTTACCTGTGGTGCTGCAAAAAGGAAAACTTCTCTTTCTGTATTTCAATTATGATAGGTCCTGGCCAGAGTGTTGTCCCAATACACCAAGGTTATGGGTTTGATCCCCAGTCAGGGCACATATGAGAATCAACCAGTAAATGCATCCATAAGTAAAACAACAAATCTCTCTCTCTCTCTCAAATCAACTAAAAATTAAAGAAAAAATACAGATTCTTCCTCCCACACAGTATATTGCACTGCAGGGGTTGGGGAGATGTGGGCAAAGAGGCTCTGCCACAGCCCAAGAGCATCCGTCCTTGCGGTAGACGCCTAAGGAAACCATACTGCACAATTTACAGGGGTGTCCTTGAAACATAGTGGCTCTTTCTATGACTGTCATGACTGCCCATGATGGGCAAAAAAAGGCCCCCTTTGCTATGATCTACAAATATTGATTGATGCTGATAAGATCATTCTTTTTACTACTTGTTCAGTCTTTTAATTGCTAGAAAATACATGACCAGAAACTCTTTTTCTGCTGCTGTACAACTACTTGTTTCAGTTCTCCCTCCTTATTCCCATCAATAAAGAAGAAAACAAAAACCTGTTAGAAACTTTTTTCCAAGAGCACCAGACCTGAAGTCTCAGGCCACCACTTGGCTTTGGTCACATGCTACCTCTGCTGCTGCCAGTTCAGGTTATGACAGTGTTCTTCACAGGGTGCTTGGTCAACAAGGCCACGGACTCATCGTTTTATGAAACTTCAATGGTCTCAAGTGTTAAATTCGCTATTCATGCAAATGTAAGTGCCTAGAGGCGGCTTCCAGTCCCTAGAGCAGAAGACATTTATGGGCTCGCTGTGGTTTCTCTGGTCTCCCCAGAAGCCCACTTGAGATCCACATTCACCAAGGTTTATTACCCTACAGTGGAGGCGTCATGTGTCACTCCTTAGGTGGCAAGACCTGAGCTCCCTGACATTCACACACAAAGCGGTTCTCAGGCCATTTAATCTCCATCAGCACTGAAATCCTCTGTTTCATCGAGCTCTCACTGGGGCTCTTTTGTTACCAGCATGCACAATCAGCCCATACTCCATGCACTCAGAATAACTGCTTAATGGCAGTGGGTTTTCCTGCCACACACAGAGCAGGGTCCTTTGGCTGGACCGTTAGCATTGGGGAATCCTGATGCCTAATGCTACCATAACAATTTCTTAATAAGAGCCGTACTTAGTTATTAATGTTTGTTCACAGTGTGCCTTCTGGGGGAAGTTTGCCCCAACCCTGGGAAAGGGTACCCAGAGGCTCTCTCTCCCATGGCTTTGCTGTTTGCATGTCATAAGCACAGGGAGAATATACGCTCTGATCTCAACCAAGAAGTCCATCTGCATTCAAACAAAACCCATTTTGCTCATAAGGGGAGCACACATATAGCCTATTACCTCTCCGGCAGTTACCCTGATCAACCCTGGAGTCTTGAGTGTTGTGTCTGGACTCCAAGATGAGTTCTGAGATAGAGAAGTTTCTGTAGTGTTTATTAACAATAGTTTTCAGTTAAGATGGTAGAGTAGCTAAACGCAGTACACTCATCCTCCCATGACCATATCAAAATTACAACTAAATTACAGAACAACCATCATCCAGAACTGCCTTAAATATAGCTGAACAGAAGTACTATAACAGAGGGTATGAAGAAAAACCACACACAGACTGGTAGGACAAGCAGAGACATGAAATGGACTGGTTCTTACACCCATGTGTGACAATTAAAAATCAGGAGAGATATACTGAATATGGAGGTCCCCACTGAGGAGTGAGTGGTCCCCAGTCCAGGCTTCCAGTGTTAAGAACATAAGTCCCCATAACTTCTGGCTGTAAAAACCAGCAGGGATTGAGGCTCAGTGAGACAGAGGGCTTCTGAAGTTCCAGGCAGTTCCTCCTAAAAAGCCTGCACATGGAACTTACTCAGACTCATTTGCTCTGAGCTCCCGTGCTGGGGCAGCATCTCAAAAGGCACCAGGCACATACTGGGAGGAACTGAATTGTTTGGCATCAGGGTGAGAGCTGGGGGAAGCTTTCTCCCTGACAGAAGTGCTGACAGAGGCCAATGTTTCTTTGCTAAGCCCTCCTCCCACACAGCCAGAAGGCAGGAGGGTGCCATATCTAAGTCTCCAACAACCTGGCTCACACTATTTGCCATCCTGGAGATTCCCTGACACCCCTCGCCACCCAGCTTGCAGGGCCACCCAAGCTGTTTCCAGTGGCTTTTCCAAACAGATGACCTGTCTTGGCACATATGTGGACTTTTCTTAAAGCTTTCAAATGTTCATAAGCCTTAAACAAGCAGGATCTGGCTTCAACACGCCCCATTCATCTTGCTAAGTGGTCCTAGGTTCAGCACTAGCAGCAGCTTGCCTTCACAAGTGACACACTCAAGGGGTGGAGTTAGTGGGCACCCCTGCGCCACTGAAACAAGTCCTTCTGTGTTGGTTTGGTTCCTGCACAGCAGATCCCCCACTGTAGTTGTGGAAGTCTTTGAAACCAATAGACCTGGAGATAAATCCCTCCCACTGATGTGCCAACAGCAATCAAGGCTCAACTATAACAAGAAGGGTACACACAACCCACACCTGGAGTGTCCAGCTTGGGGGACTGGGAGCTTGTGCCACTGGGCCCCACAGGACAAATACTACATTAGACCAGTCTGTCAAGACTGGGAGATACAGCAGCTCTAGAAACAAGCACAGGAGGCAGCCAAAATGAGGAGACAAAAAACATGTCCCAAATGAAATAACAGAATACAACTACAGAAACATAACTAAACAAAATAGAGAAAAACAATTTACCAGAAGCAGAGTTCAAAACACTTGTAAGGATGCTCAATGAAACTAGGGGAAGAGTAGAGGAACTTACTGAGACCCTCAACAAAGAGACAGGAAACATAAAAAATTAGATAGAAAACATAAAAAAGAAAATGGCAGTCAAGATGGTGGCATAGGCAAATATGCCTCACCTCCTCATACAACCACATCAGAATTACAACACTAAAATATAGAACAACCATCACTCAAAACCATCAGAAATCAAGCTGAATGGAAGTCTGACAACTACAGAATTAAAGACCACATTCATCCAGATAGGTAAGAGGGGCAGACACAGATCAGGCTGGTCCTACATCCATGTGTGGTAGATAAAAATTCAGGAGGGATATGTCTGGAGTCAGGAGTCCAGCCCCATACCAGGTCCCCCAGCCCAGGGTCCAGTGCCAGGAAGATAAGTCCCAATAACTTCTGGCTGCAAAAACCAGCAGGGATTGAGTCAGTAGAAGAAACTTCAGGATCCCAAGCAGTTCCCCTTAAAGAACCCACACACGGCCTTACTCAGACTCACTCCCTCTGAGCTATAGCACCAGAGCAACAGCTTGAAAGGCAACAGTGGCACACAAGGAGAAACTGAAGTGTCTGGCATCAAGATGAGAGCTGAGAGGCAGCTTTCTCCCAAACAGAAAGGTGGGCAGAGGCCACTGTCCCTTTTCTGAACTCTCATCCCATAGAGCCACAGACCCGGCAGGTGGGTGCCATATCTGAGACTCTATCAACCTGGCTAACACTGTTGGCCCCACCCTGAAGATCCCCTGAGACTCCATCCCACCCAAATTACTGGCCCACCCTTGGCC